CTACAAGCGCTACAGCAGCACAGCTCGTGCTGCAACTGTGCCACTGTAGTGCTATGGTGTAGATACCTATGACAGCAACGGAAGGGGCTTTTCCATCACTGCAGTAAATCCACTGCCTCCAGAGGTGATAGCTAGGCCAATGGAAAAATTCTTCCATCGACCTAGTTGTGTCTGCAGTGCGGTTCGGTCAACCTAACTACGTCACACAGGACATGACATTTCTCACAGCCCTGAGCGATGTAGCTAGGTTCAAGGTGACCTAAGTTTAAGGTGTAAGCCAGGTCTAAATTAATGCTGTCTTCACCAAGGTAGAATCCTTGCGAAAGGTGGCATTGCATTTTTGTCAAGAAAATCGAAATATTACTTGAACTGAGTCTGGAATCTAATTTTGTTTTTCTTAATTCTGTTTATACCCTCTTGATCTTATATAAATGTAGGTGAAAATATTAACTCTCAAACACATACCACATTATATTTTTATATTTGTACACAGCATACCAGACCTAGGCTCAGATTTCAGACCATTTGTACCTATAATTACCATGACTGTGCCTGCAATCACAATAACTAAGTGAAATTTATGCATGAACATTTTGCACAACTGATTTTTGTTATAGGTATTTGAACCTAGACCATTTTTTATTTTATTTTACAGTATAATTAGACTAAGAAATCAACTTATCTTGTACAGTGCATTGTTGTGTAATTAATATTCACACAGGTCAAAACCAGAGAAGTACCTGATTCAGTTGGGGATGCTTTGCATGAATACATACAAATATATATTTTGCTTTCAATACACACAGTCATGGAGAAATGTGCACAAAAACATAACTGAAATCACAGAGTGTCACCCTACCCTCCCACCTCCCACTGCTTTCCCCAGTCAGAATCAAGAGAGAAAGATTTTTTTTCCTCGTGATTTTGTTGGAAGCCCATAAATTAGCCCAGGATTGCTCAAAAGTGGATTTTGGGATATTTGGAAGCATTGGGCTTAAAAAAAAAAACTAGGCTGAATTTTTAATGAAACCTGAAATCAGATGAGTGTCAAGTTTAGTTACAAACATTTCACAGGCCTTTTAGCTGTAGCCATCCTCAGTAAATCGTATTTCTTCATTTTTTCAATATGCCATCACTGCTAAACCTTTTGAGAATGAACAATATGTATAACTCATTCAACGATACTATAAAAGATCAGTGTTGCATGCCCTCTGCACTCAGAACCTCAAATGACATTAATAGTAGTCTCCCTCTCATAAGATTCAGTTGCAAAATTAGACTCGTATTGTAGCAACCCATCTCTGAGACTGACCTGTGAAGGAGTCGTCACACTGATTTCTGGTACAAAGTTGTCCTCAAAGAAGCTGATGATATTCTCCTGCTGCAGCTCCTTTGTGGGTGTGAGTTTAGGCATCGGTGGGACAGGAGGCCCTTTCCTCAACTAGGCAAAGAGCAAAAATGTCACGAAGTAAAACCTTAAGGCAGGTATAATGGAATTAATTTTAGGTTTTAAGTAGGACTAAAATAAACAGTTAATCTTAAGTATTTTGGGGTTAGATTCTGATCTCAGTTGCTTCAGTGCAAAACTCCACTGACCTCAGCAACTCCACTGTTGTAATTCAGATCAGAAACTCACTGTCTGACTGTTCAAAATCATCTGGTTTGAGGGAAGAAAACATTTTTTTAAATAAATATCTCGCATCTATGGGGATTCCAGTTGAGAGGATTAATACGACAGCATTTCTTGGCTGAAGATTCAAACTATTAGGGTAATAGGCTGGAAGACACTTCACCTGCAACACAGTAGCATCATTTGCACTGCCATGTTGCACAGAAACTTAACTCTCTCATTACTTGTTTGCTTAAACTTTCTTCAGTTTATGTCATTTTTCTGACTCATGTTCACCCATTATTTAAGACTGGTAATGTTAAATAGCTGGCAGGACTGGGAACTAATGTCCATTTTCCCTAAGACTAAGGGAATGTCTATGCTGCCCTGGAGTTTGGACCATGGAGGTGTGAATAGCAGTGTGTTCCAAAGTGCTGCGTTGTAACTCCCCTGTGTGGACGACAAAAGGTGCCAATCATCTACATCAAAACTATTTTCTTGACTGTGGCTTCTTATCCAATAGAAAATATGTAAGATTTTCTTTATTTAAAACTACAAGCAAGCATTCCAGAATGAAATCAATTAAAGGCCAGTGATTTAGCCTGAAGTTTCCTAGTCCCCATTTGATAGGCTAGGTACAATACTGTATATATTACTGTTCAAGAGGAAACTTGAGTGCCTATAGAAAAATCTTATTTTATCCTCGTGCTATTATACTCTAGTTTGACATAAACTGCATGTTATACTCTAGTTTGACATAAACTGCTTCACCCTGACACAGGATTTGTTAAATTTTGCAGTTACAAAAGTTATTTGCTGTGGTGACATGTTTCAATGTGGAATAATCTATTGGTAAATAAATATTTTAGAATCTTCTGTTTTCCAGGGAAACTATCTAGTATATTGTCTGGGATAGAGTACATTAAAAAAAATATTGTAGTTTTGTGGCAAAGTAATCTTTTTACACTTATCATTAATTTCAGGGGTCTACAAATTTCAGATGTGGCCAAAGGCTTGTGCTCTTGAAATCCTCAAATAAGAAAGAATGAAAAATAGCAAGTCTTTTAGGACAAGTTTTTAATCTTTGTCTTGTGGATCCTGATCCAAAGCTGAGTGAAGTCAATGGGAATCTTTCTATGACTTTCTGGGCTTTGCCTCAGGCCCTTAGTGCAGAATCCCATCAAAGACAGGCAAACAAAAAGATTGAAGAATTGGTCCTGAATCAGTAAAGCACGCAAGTAATCGTGCCTCTAATCAGCAACAACACTTAAGTATGTGTTTAACTTTAAGGACACATTTATGTCCCATTGATGTTAATGAAACTACTCACCTATGTAAGTTACACATAGGTGTATGAGTATTTGAAGGATTGGAGCTTATGGCATCACATATGTATTTTAATCGCATTTTTCTCTGTTTTAAAATATATATAATATATGAATTTGTTCAAAATTTTCTATAACCACTACAAATTCCTAGATAAACAACTCTGGAGTGCATGAATGAGGCTTAAAGAGGAGAAAGTGTTATTTCAGGACAGAGGGGAAACTTTAGGTCAGAGAAAGTTTGTGGAGTGTCAAACTATATTAAGCATTTGAGAACAGAGGGATGGAGTAATATAGAAAACGATTTCCCCTCAGCATCCCATTAGCTCAAGGGTGGGCAAACCTTTTGGCCAGAGGGACACATCTGAGTATGAAAACTGTATGGCGGGCCATAAATACTCACAAAATTGGGGTTGGGGTGCAGGAAGGAGTCAGGGCTCAGGCTGGGTGTGCAGGCTCTGGAGTGAGGCCAGAAATGAGGAGTTCAGGGTGCGGGAGGGGGCACTGGGCTGGGGTAAGGTGTTGGGGTGCGGGATCAGGGCTCCAGCTGGGGATGCAGGCTCAGGGGTGGGGCTGGGGATGAGGGATTTTGGGTGCAGGAGGGTGCTCCGGGCTGGGATCGAGGGGTTTGGAGGGCAGGAGGGGGATCAGGGCTGGGGCAGGGGTTTGAGGTGTGTGGGGAGGCTCAGTGGTGCAGGCTCCAGGTGGCGCTTACCTCAAGGAACTCCTGGAAGCAGCAGCATGTCCCCCCTCCGGGTCCTACATGGAGGCACGGCCAGGCGGCTCTGCATCCTGCTCCATTTGCAGGCGCCGCCCCTGCAGCTCCCATTGGCCATTGTTCCCGGCCAGTAGGAGCTGTGGGGGCAGCGCTTGGGGCGGGGGCAGCAAGCGGACCCCCTGGCTGACCCTAAACATAGAAGCCAGAGAGGAGATATGCCTCTGCTTCCGGGAGCTGCGCGGAGCAGTCGCCAACCCCTGGACAAGCCCCAGACCCTACTCCCCAACGGGAGCTCGAGGGCTGGATTAATTCGGCTGGTGGGCCGGTTATGGCCTGCGGGCCATAGTTTGCCCCCCCCTGCATTAGATCATCAAGTTTAATTTTCAACATGGCATTAACCAAATCAAACAGTGTTGACTTAATTGACACCAGGAATTTTTTTTCAAAATGCCATTGAGCTGTGTGGCTGAAATGAGAAATTATGCAACATTTCTTAAAATCTAGTAATATTTGTCTTTTTTTCATCCTGATCGACTAAAGCATTTAACATACATAACTAAGTATTTGCGTAGTCCCATTAACTATCGACTTTCTTAAGTGCTTTACTTGATAGAGGTCTGAATGATGATGCACCCATGAATTCTGTGATTATAACTGTGATAAACAGCACCAAGCAAAGATGGTAGAAAAGATAACATTCAGAGTCTACAGCCAGGAACTAACAAAGTCTAAGGACATCTACTGTACAGTAGGTCTGTACAGCATTGTTTTCTGCACTGAGGAGAATCTGGTGGTAGACAGCACTGCACTTTTCCAGATGTAACTAGCATGCTGTGATGACACATTTCTTACAACGTGACACAGAAAAAGTGACAAAATAAATCAAATCATATTTATTCTTTAGGAAAGGAAACTATAATCCCTTTGATATCACAAGGATAAAAATAGTCCTAACTATGGATTTACCATGACTAATACCTAATATGATATTCGTGCCTATGAAAATGTAAAAAACAGGCATATAAATCTTGGGCAGACCCTCAGATGATGTAAAGCAATGTATCTCCAATGAAATCAATAGGACAACACTGAATTACACCGGCTGAGGATCTGGTCCTTCAGTGCTGCAAGTAGACTGCGAGTTACAGAGGCAAATAGTGTAAAAACACACTCTTCAGAGACAAATAATGTCATGAAAATACAATTATTTTTTAACTGTTCCCCATATAAAAAATAGGGATTGCCCCATATGCTGCAGTGCCACTATTTTACATACAGTATGTCAAACTACTGCCATATTTTTACTGTAAACTTTTAAAAAATGTAATTCTGTAATCTCTTTCTTTTTATAAGGGTATTAGCTGTGTTGTTCTTGTTTTAATTAAACTTTAAATGCTGCCTTACTATAGAAACTATATGCTTGGTATATGTGTAAAGCATCATGTACAATTCTTACACTACTGAAGTTGCCATTAATGAGCCTGATTCTTATCTCACTTACACTGATGAGAATCATGAATGATTCCATTGAGATCAAACTTCTCACTCTAGTATAAAATCAGTATAACAGGACAATCAGGTCCAATAAGTATTTTGCCAAAAATTACCGCAGTAGTACAGTATTTGAGCTACCACAATTATTCCTTATCCCAGGGGTCGGCAACCTTTCAGAAGTGGTGTGCCGAGTCTTCATTTATTCACTCTAATTTAAGGTTTCAAGTGCCAGTAATACATTTTAACGTTTTTAGAAGGTCTCTTTCTATAAGTTTCTAATATATAACTAAACTGTTGTTTTATGTAACGTAAATAAGGTTTTTAAAATGTTTAAGAAGCTTCATTTAAAATTAAATTAAAATGCAGAGCCCCCCGGACCGGTGGCCAGGACCTGGGCAGTGTGAGTGCCACTGAAAATCAGCTCACGTGCCGCCTTCGGCACACGTGCCAGAGGTTGCCTACCCCTGCCTTATCCCAAGAAAAGCAAAAATTATGGTATCTCAGATAGCACTGTGTGGTGACAACACTTGGTTAATGTTGACTTTTTAATGGCAATGCTGTGCATAAATAGTCAATAATAAAAGAAAATGTAATCTACAATTCTATTTTTGTATTAATACACATACATGTTTTTAAAAGTTTTTCATATGGTAATTTATGTGCTAGATAGATCTAGTTCCCATGAAAACCCTGAATACGCATCCTTTTAAAGGTTCTATTCATAAGTATCTCAACACATACATAGTTCAATCAGCACTACTTTCTAGTCTCAATCCGTTCTCCCATCACCTGTTCTTAAGATCAATTTCAACAAGCACCTGCAACAGGGGAACGAACAGCTGGGGCAACTCATGGTATCACAGCCCTTCCTGACAAAGCCGCGTCAGTGCGGCTCACCATCACTCTTCATTTTAATTTAGAAATCATTCCTCCTGTATTCCAGCACTCACCACCCAAATGTAAATCTCACCGGATTTATCTGCTGTGGAATCTCCCACAATAGCTCATCTACATCTGTGTAAGAGGCCCACTCCCCAGGTTAGCTTTGCTCCTACCTGTGAAGGTGATTTAGGCCGAGCTGGTGCAGGAGATGAAATAGGTGCCAGTGTATGATTGGGACTAGATGAAGGGCTAGGCAGGGGAGAAGCCTCCTCAGGGGGCGATGGTGTTTTCGCAATGCGGAGTGGACCTGAATCACTGGATGAACACAAAGTAACAAGTTCTGAATATATCATGAGGCTTCACTGACTTTATACCATGAGTTACATTTCTGAACCCTTTGAGAAATGTAGGTTTCTGACTCTATAGCCTCAAATAATGATATTTTTGACACAATAGTTGAAATGCATACCTGGCATCAGGGATGTATTTGGCCTCTTATGTAATTAAATAACTAAAACAGTGATTAAATTCAACCTATCAATGAACTATAGTGTCAAAGGAAATCCTTATTTTCTAGAGGTTGTTTTCTAGAACATCTACTGTTCTCATGCCTATATCTTCAAAAAATAGAGTCCTTACATTTCAGAAGATTCTGTATTTGAAATGATTTCTCATGTCAGTTTGAAAGTATAATAAAATGTGAATGACAATTATTGTCATTAACTCATTAACCAATTTACTTTAGACAGCTCACAATCTAAAAGGCTCCAATGATATACAACCCCAGTTCAAGACTCAATAATAAATATTAGTAATCATACAGAACAGCTATAAGACGAAATTTAATCAAAAACCAAAGTATACTACTAATTATAGGGCCACATTTTCAGCTGGTGTAAATCAGCATAGCTCAGTTGATTTTGTTAGTGCTACATCAATTTATACCAACTGGATCAGACTCAAAGTCTGAGGGACATTTTACTGTCTAGAGATTTCTAAAGTCTAATATTGAAGAAAACAGATTTTTCCTTCTATAATTAATGAGCCTACAGTCTACAGCGTTCTATGAGCAGAGTATTCAATAAGAGGAGAACTGGCCGTACGTATCTTTAGGGAGAAGTGAAGCATTACATGATTGAGGAGATCAGCCACAATCATGTTCTTAACACTAAAGCAAAGCAAATTTATTCTTTGGCAAGAATATATTTTAGCTCACACTCACCACCTCTTTCTGTGGAAATATTTAAAAAAAAGGAATATGCAGTTATTAAAAAGCTCCTTCCTATCTATTTTATTTCCCTTCAAGGAAGCGTATACAATTACATGCCCCTTTAATTTTTGTTTTGTTTTCCTTCTCCCACCCTCTGAAGAAAAGTTCAAACTTCATTGTGTTCTTTATTTACTTCTTAATGAAAAATAACAACTGTCTTATCCTGAAATTATCCTTTCCTGAGTTCCTGAACAAGCTTTTGGAACGCTAGTAAAAAACCGCCCTCAAAGAATCCATCCAGGTTTGACAAAATCTAGTGCATGTTGGGACATAAGGTATTTCAGAGTGTGCACTGTAGTTAATTTTATGCAGGCTTTCGGCAAAACAGTTATACTCAAGTAAAGCTGTTGGTTCTTCAGCTTAATGCTGAATCTTAGCATAACAGTGAAAAACTTCCAAACCAGGGTTATGATAGTAATCACACAACAAGATAATGTAGTGATACCAAAAAAAAAAAAAATACCCCAAAAACTTGTGTGTCACAGTGAAAGGTCAAAAATACAAGGTTATTTAAATAAATTAGAAAAAAAAGCCCATATTGCATTAACCACTCTCTCTTCTGGCAAGAGTAACTTGGCAAAGGAAGAGCAGGGGAAGCACGGGTGTGTTTGTAGAGCCACAGATGTCCAGAATACGGGTATATATTAATGCTAGTTTTAAAGTATTTTGATGGAAAATTCCTAACGGAAAGAGTGGTTTCTGTAAAATCAAAGTTTCTGCAAGTGCATCATGGGAGGGAAGTCCATAGGGAAGAATGGGGACATTAAGGAACTCCCAAGAGGCACTGTGGAAGCTCACACAGATGCAGATTAATGTCGAACAAACCCAAAATGAAATGTTTGACTAATTCTGAATAGACATTTTTCTAACCTTTGCATTTTGTGAAAAGTTCCAGTATTTCAAGTTTTCCTTCTGAATTAGGATGAAAACAAATGCTGAAATATTAGAATCTCCTTTGGGACAGAAATTCTATTTTTTGATCAGCTCTAATTAATGCTAATGTGACACTGTTCTAGGGGCAAATTAGCATATTGGTCAACATTTAGTTCCACGATTGCTTATGCAAGGGATGATGGTTATAAATGCAGGAATTATATATTCTGTCTCTCTAAAACTTCCATTTTTTTCTATAGATCAGTACCATTCTTTTTACACTTTGTGCCTTTTCATCCCATCATCATTATACAACTGAAAGTAGAAAACATTTCTGTCTACGCCAGGCAGAGAGGCAGGAGATCATGCTGTGTGCAAAGTAAAAGTCAGGAGATAAAGGATCAGTATCACTAACCCCAAGTGTTCCAAAATCATGAGCTAAGCTCCCATAAAGCATGAGATTGTCTTAGAAATAATAATTTTATATATATATATATAATTTTGGGATTCTTTTAATTTGCCTTTCAGTTTTTGAACCTTTAGGGGGCACTTGGGCCATGTACTCAGGCTTTCCTTAGCAACCATGAGGGTTAAAAACAAACTTTGTTTTTAATGAAATCTGAGATTCTCACCTACTCACATGCCTTCAGGAGCCATGGCTTTAAGTAAAACACCATGTATTACAAGACTTGTGGTAAAATAATTAGACAAGACAACACTGTTGTATATTCCACCTATAAGAATGCAAGGGCCAGATCCTTAGCTGCTGCACATTGATGTACACAGATGAAGGTGTAGCACTACCACATGCTATCGGTGGGTTGACTATTTTGGAAAGGTGAAAGCCCATTGTAATTTCATAAACAATGTATTACCTGGGTGCTCCTTGGATGGTAAAGGCCTTGTCAGCATGCTGATCTCCCAACTTGGTAATCACCTCATACAGTTTGTGGCATAGCTGAGAAGAAAAACACTTGTCTATTAAATGTGATATTAGGTTAAAGGCTGCAATATTAGATAAAAGTGCAGATGATAAGCCTGGTTTAGAAATTGCTGACTTCTCTAAAAAAATATAGACCTCTTCAGATATACCATAGGGCCATGTTCATTTAGGGCCTGATTCAAAGCCTACTGAAGTTGTGATGATTTGGGGAGTCTATGTACAATTTATTCATTCTCTATATGATTATGAATTCCATGTGTTACTCTAACCCGCAATGTATAGTGAGTGAGCCATGGCTGTCAAGGACACTCTTGCATATTCACACCCTATCTGGATGAAGCTACAGAACAAATAAAAGAAGTTGTTAACATGAATGGCTCCCATTCAAATGAGAATAGCGTAGGACATTGGGTTGTCTGAAGCCTAGGAAAACAAGTTTTCTTCAACTTCTCTGCAGGGTTCCTTGGTTTGAAGGAATGGAATTTCCCCAGAAGCAGGACAAAGAACCAAGTTACTAGTACTAGCTTTTAACAAAACACAGACTGAGTGTGTCAGGGAGACAAAGGAAGCTTAGGGCAGGAGAGATGAACAAAGGGACAGGCTTTTGAGGGAGAGGGGACTTCTTTGACTACAGAATCAGCCAACGAAGAAGGGAGCTGTCTGCAGGAGGGAGAGAGAAAGCAAGAGAGAGAGATTCCATGATTCAATAATTAATTGACATTTGTAAAGTGCTATAGGGTGTTTCTTAAATGAAAAAGAGGCCAATTTTATGGCGTATTTTGGTTTGTGTGGAGAGCTTCTGAAGGGAGCCAGTCTTAAACTAACTTTATTAACAATAGAGTGCTGTTAATTACCAGGCTCAATCCACAGGTTTGCCCTTAATCCACCCTGACATACTAAAGATATGAAGCAGAATTCACCCTGTACCAGTACTGTAGAAGGGTGTGGGTTTTATCATTGCATACAACTAAAGTGCATACCTCTAGAATTCATACTCAAAAAGAACAGACTATTTTTTTTATTTTTGGAATATGGTGGGATCTCCAACCTGTAAGAGGACAGTGGTTGGAGATTTCAAGTGTGAGGCACAGTCAAGGTTACTGTTGGACCCTTACCTGAAAACTTGGTTAGTTTCTAATATTTCTTTAACTCTCTCTCTCTCTCTCTCTCTCTCT